TTTTTTATAAAATAAATATAAAAATATTTTTATAAATAAATAATTAAATTTAAGTATTTCAAATAAAAAATTAGATTTATTACAATAAAATTAAACGGATGAAATATTTAATAAATGCAAACACTTTTTTTAATACCCCACCTTGAAAATAACTGGAGAAAAAGAATGGAATTGTCAATTTTTGGCACCACGCTAATGGTTGCTAATTTTGGTTCGATAACCGCGGATTTCTTTGTAATTCTCCGAACAATTTAATTAATCTTCAATTTTGACTTTTTGACATTTTCTTTTACCTGACAACGGCGTGTTGAAAACTACTACCTTGAAATTTTCTTTTGATGTGCAGCGCTGGACTTAATTAAAAATGTCCAGGTGCAAGCAATCATAGGACCAGATAATTCAATGCAAGCAAACTTCATGATAGACCTCGGAAACAAATCTCAAGTGCCTATCATCTCTTTCTCAGCAACGAGTCCATTCCTTTCCTCCCTGAGGAGTCAATACTTTTTTCGAGCAACCCAGAACGACTCATCTCAGGTCAAAGCCATTAGTGCCATTGTTCAAGCCTTTGGATGGCGAGAAGTCGTGCCCATATATGTAGACAATGAGTTTGGAGAAGGGGTTATTCCTTACTTATCCGATGCTTTGGAAGAGGTTAACGCTCGGATTCCTTACAGGAGTGTTATCTCTCCTGAGGCCATCGATGAGGAAATTAGAAGAGAGCTGTACAAACTAATGTCAATGCAGTGTAGAGTGTTCATTGTTCATATGGTCCCAGATCTTGGCCTCCGAGTTTTTGACATAGCAAAAGAGATTGGAATGATGGATGAAGAATATGTCTGGATAATAACTGATGGGATGACTAATCTTTGGAGTATGATTGATCGTTCTGATATGGATTCCATGCAGGGGGTATTGGGTGTAAGGATTTATATTCCGGAATCGAAAGAGTTTGACACTTTTAAGGTACGATGGAAAAGGGAATTCGTTCAAAATAATCCGAGTATGGTGAATGCTGAATTGGACATTTTTGGATTATGGGCTTACGATGCTATATTTGCACTGGCCATGGCGGTGGAGAAACTTGGCACAGAAAATTTCAGCTTTGATGCGTCACGTGTTTCAGAAAGTGCAAGAACAGATCTTGAATCTTTTGGGGTTTCTGAAATTGGTCCAAAACTCATCAAGGCTTTGTCAAGTACGAGATTTAAAGGCCTCAGTGGAGAATTTGGGTTTATTAATGGGCAACTTGAGTCCCCAATTTTCCAAATTGTTAATGTAAATGGAAATGGTGAAAGAAGGATTGGGTTCTGGACGTTAAAGTATGGACTAGTTAAAAGACTAAATTTTACAAATGTAACAGGGTATTCCACTTCTAAGGCCAATCTTGGAACCATCATATGGCCGGGGGATACACATTCCACTCCTAAAGGCTGGGAGATTCCGACCAAAGGGAAGAGGTTAAAGATTGGAGTACCAGTGAAGACTGGATTTAGTGAATTCGTCAAGCTTCCGCCCTGTACAGGTCCCAATTCTACAGTCGTCCCCACCGGTTACTGCATAGATGTCTTCAATGCTGTCATGGAGGCAATGCCATATGGCGTCCCTTTTGATTTCTATGCCTTTGAAAATGCTGACCAGGAGATGGCTGGAACTTATAACGACCTAATCGATCAAGTCGTCTATGGAGTAATTAAATAACAACTAACCCCTCAAGTTTACATATCTCTTTCTTTTTGTAGTTTGGATTTCTCAATTGACAAAACACTGTGGTGAACAGAAATATGATGCAGTGGTAGGAGACATTTCCATAATCGCCAACAGATCATTTTACGTTGACTTTACATTACCGTTCACCGAGTCTGGAGTGGTAATGGTAGTTCCTATCAGAGATGGATCGAACAAGAATGCATGGGCGTTCTTGAAGCCTTTGACATGGGATCTCTGGGTCACTAGCGGTTGCTTCTTCGTCTTCATTGGGTTTGTCATATGGATTCTTGAGCATAGAATCAATGAAGATTTCCGTGGACCGCCTTTGCATCATGTTGGAACTAGCTTCTGGTTCTCCTTTTCGACCATGGTTTTTGCACATCGTAATGTTCCTTTTAATATATTTTAGCTGTTTCAAGTTGTAGAATGGAGTTAGTCAAGCTTGAATTCTAGCATGAGATTTAAACCTCTAAAAATTAAAAGAATAAATCATATCTGATTCTGATTTGTGTTTTTAGGGGAAAGGGTGGTAAGCAATCCAGCGAGGTTTGTGGTGTTGATATGGTGCTTTGTGGTACTCATTCTCACGCAGAGCTATACTGCCAGTTTAGCTTCTCTTTTAACCGTTCAACAGCTGCAACCTACAGTGACCGATGTGAATGAACTGTTAAGGAGAAGGGAGAATGTTGGGTACCACAATGGCTCCTTCGTCAAGGGAATAGTCCGCAGGTTGAAATTTGATCCATCAAAGATGAAGACATTTAATTCACCGGAGGAGCTCGATGAACTTTTTACCAATGGAAGTGCCAATGGCGGTATCGCAGCTGCTTTCGATGAAATTCCATACATGAAGCTATTTCTTGAAAAATATTGCAACAAATACACCAGCGTAGAGCCAACTTTTAAGACCGATGGCTTTGGATTTGTAAGTTGTCTCAATATCTTTATTTCCTTCAGACCATCATATACATTATTGTTGATCAAGCTAAAGTAAAATTTTCATTTCTAGGTCTTCCCAAAAGGTTCTCGTCTTGTATCGGATGTGTCGAGGGCAATCTTAACAATCATGGAGGGTGAGAAAATGAAAGAAATTGAAAATAAATGGTTTCCAAAACAAACTAATTGTCCAAATTCAAGTACTTCGATTTCTTCTAATAGCCTGAGTCTGGGAAGCTTTTGGGGCCTCTTCCTTATTGCTGGGGTTGCTGCAGTATTAGCTCTTATCATATCTGCTGGGGAGTTTCTGTATATGCAAAGGGATGTCTTGTGCATCCCTGGAATTTCAGTCTGGAGAAGAATCCTTCAAGTGTTAAGAAACTTTGACAAGAAAGACCTGACCTCTCATACCTTTAGGCAGAGTGATTTAAAAGAAAGAAGTTGCCTTGATAGTGTTCAAATCATAGGAGCTATTGAAGTCTCTGTTGAAGCCTCGCCAAACACCAACTGTCCGCCAAGTCCATCAAACTCAGACCCGATAGATTTGAGCTTGACTTTCTTTGGTGAGCAGGGAAGTCCTTCCACTGACAATAATTTAGGCAGCACAACATCTCCAGAAATAGAAATTTAGCTTTCTAACACAAATAACTCATGAAAAAGAAGTTGGCATTGATGTTTCCGTATAGCTCTAATGATGCATCCATGGTATTAAGGATGTACTATCAACCATATAGTCTGGTGTTAAAGTTAATTGTACTTTTAGCCACAACTCTAAGATTCAAACTCTAGTCTCTATACATTAAAAATAAAAAAATGTGTTAAAGTTATAGGACGCTAAGCCCAATAGAATATAGGCCATACGGCTTCCTGCATTTCTATGTTAACAATAAAATTAGTGTGCAAATATACTCAGATGTTAAGGAACATGCTACATAGGTGAGTAAACATCCACAATTAGCAAGGCAAAGAATTCAATTTGAGAGATATTAAAAGTGGAAGAGCTTACTGCAATTATGGGAATCCGCTTTGTTGGAAGCACAGAACCCTGACCATTTTGTAACAAATCTGAAGAAGGCACAAGCTGCTCAATTCCAGCCCTTGCTGCGGCATCCCAGTTGCCAGCCTCTTCAAAGGAAATCAGCCTTGTCGCCATGCAGACATCCTGCATGCATATATGATCACCAAAATGTTAGAATTATAACACATTCCACTCAAATCAACAAAGGTTTCATGGTTTCAATGGATGAAAGATCCAAGATGTGTATTTCATTTTCCCTAAATAGGGAGCTGCCCTTTCCTCTGTGTTAAGGCTCATCTTATAAACGAGAGATGAATAGCAGGTCGCAACCGGTAAGAAGCCTCCTCTGGAAAAGTAGCAAGGTATAATAGTTGAAATATGATTGAGAGGAATATGCGATTGGAACTTGGAAGAATTCTGACTTTATTTATTTATTTATTTTTATTGTATGAATTTGATTATGGAATATTCGTCGGGAGGAATATTTATTTATTTTTATTCTGTTTAAAAATAAATTTTTACTAGCTATTGACAATCAATACTCACAGTATTGTAATAGACTAACAATAACTTTTACTGTATATTTGTAATTTTTAGTTAGATGCATAAATTATTGTGCATCTACTAACTTGATGCCACATAATTATTATGAGAATTTTTTTAAATAAAAAATCAAAACTATTATGAAAATTTATCAATCACTTAACTTGTAAATAAAATAATACATAAATTCTAACTTAGTACCCATTTGGTATGATTAAAACTTTTAATAGAAGTTTTCTTTTAGAGAATTTGATGTAAAAATTTTGCTTAAAAAATGTTCAATGTGTTCGATAAAATTTTAAATAGAAATACTTTTAAAATCTAAAATTATTTCTTATTTAGTAAATTTTATTTTTAAAATATTTTAAATTTAATATGATGTTAAAATAACTTTTAAAAAAGCCATTTTTTAAAAG